CCTGGGCAGGTAAATGGAACATACAATAAATTAAAACTAACTTACTAAGTTACTAAAATCACAGTTGTGCAAAATTTAAATTACAAAGTTATGAATACACACATTCCCACATCATTAAAACAATTTACTAAACAACTTCCGACTAGTGGATGACCCGCTCTTCCTCTGAGCCACAGCCGGTTGCATCCACCTGTAGCCATGCTGTCTGCCAGACATTTGTAAGTGCTGGTCAATTGAGTATGCTATTTCAGCTACATCTGACTTATTTCGTCTCTGCCAGAGCTGATTCTTTTGTAGCTTTCTCTCTAGGGTCTAGGTAGACCCTGTTCTAATTTAGGCTAAGTCAAAAATAATGAGATACTAAGTCAAAATATTGAGAAAGTATCTCATTATTTTGAAAAGTTTCTCTCTTATAATGACTTGAAAAATCCTTGGCCGAAATGGGCTTCCATAGTTTGGACACCAGAGGTCAGTCTTGAGATCTCAGTAATCACAGAGACCATAGCTTTGTAAAAACATAGTACTTTAATAAATATAAATACAGCAAAATACAAATGTAACTTCACAAGGCAATAACAAAAATAGACATTATTATCGAAATTGTAAAAAAAGATAAAAATACATCTTTTCTTGGTACTTGTGAAGCCATCAGTCTGTCTGCAGCAACATCTATATTGGTGAAGTGCAACAGTAAACTGCTTCATTAATGAACTTTCCTTCATATTTCTTTCTTTCTTATCCACAAAAATTCAGAGAAATAAATTAACAGCAAACATATGTACTCTTTTCGAAGACTATGTGAGACAATCATGTTCCCAAGGTCCTGTTAAATCTGTGTGTTACTTTGCCCCGGTCTTGTTCTATTAAGCACATTATAAATAAACATTTTGAGTGAATTGGTCTGAAGAAGACTGGTGCAGTCATCGTGTGTGGCCATCACAAGCAGCAGTAGTCAGACACAGTGGAATGAAGGCAGGTATTCAGAGTGGCTTATTGTTGTTGAGGCTCGTTGAACTGACCCATGAACAGAAGAGCACCTGGGCACAGGAAGGAAAACATTAGACACACCACACACTCCCCCTGGACTGCTCAGCTGAATGGCACTGTAAAATGAGATTTCAGATGAAAATGTAATAAGAGTGTTTACCTGTGTGTTTGTGCTGGATGAGGAAGAGGAAGGGTCGGTCCAGAGTAATTTCCTCCACGGCCATACGAGAAAACATAACAGCAGCTAACAGAGGGAACAAATAGAAGATTTCAGCATCTGTGGACTCCCTTCATGTAATTTTATTTTATAATTGTACCACAATATTATAATTTATCTGGAATAGAAGTTTTAAAACTACATTTGACAGGGCCACAAACTAGACGATTTTCACCGCCTTAAAGCTTCAGCAGGTCATTTAAAAAAAACTAAAAACTTTTGTCATATTTATCAAACTTTCACAATATCCTGAGAGTAGTACATGCAACAGATAGTCTGTGAAAAAAATTTGGTTCCTCTGAGACATTTGCTATTGAGCTTACCTGTGGCTGCTGCTCCCTTGGTTCCTTGCTCATTCACCTCGATCTTCACTCTCTGCAGAACCTTCGACACACACAGCCTCTCATCAGCTGGAGGACAGAAACACACACAGATTAGATACACAGTTAATCTGAATGCACAAATACCGGTTCTTACATGGGTGTGAGGAATGGAAAATATTAGAACTAAAGCAAAAAGGAAGAGAATAAGAAGAATAATAAGAAGAGAATAAGAAGCCCTGGGTACAAACAGGGAAAGATTGATTGAGACATACTTAGTCTTACTACAGGAGGTTAACTTACATGTAATGCGCGTGAAGTCAGCAGTAGCAAGGTTGAACATGTCTCCCAGACCCATGTTAAGCAGAGGAGTCTTTAAATTCACCTCAGAGTTCAGAGTGAACCTACAAAAACACACGTTGTTAAAGGCTATTTGCCACGTACAAATCAATATGAAACAAACAACTGTCTCCATGAGAAGTTATTTTCAAAATAATTTAATGACTTATTTATTTAAAAACCCACATACTGTGTAACCCTCACCTAGGAATGGCCAGCTGTCTCCTGACATTCTTCAGCTGCGTTCTCCACTGCTGAATCTTCTGGCTGTTCAGATCCGCACTGAGCGTGCTCAGTGGAACATCAGACTCAAAGGGTGACACCAGGAGCATGCTCAGTGAGTCACCCTCGTATGGGACCTCAATAACATCATAGTCCACTCCATCAGCAGTCACAAACTCGCCTGAGGATTGAGGAGAAGGAGATGGATGTATCTCTGGTGTCAAACAGAGATAAAGACATGCACTGTAGGGTCAATGTGTCGAACCTACCATAGTTGAAACGGTTAGTGAGTCTCATCATATGCACGGGCACAGTGCTGCCATTGGCAGAGTGGAACATCCTCTCCTGTGTCAGTCTGGGATCAAAGGGAACCTTCCAGAGAGCCTGGAAGTGAAGAGCATTAAGCAGGACCAGGCGGGTCTCATCAGTCAGAGATCCAGGTGCCAGGAACTCAGGGATGGCACCTACAGAAGAAAACACAACATAGAGGATTTAAAAGATGGAAGCAGTCCACTTAAAACAAAGCTGATGGTGGTGGCAGATAAGTTCTTTGGAGAACCTGCAGATGACATGCTGTTAGCGGGCTGATGTAAGTACCTGCAGTGTGGTCTGAGACCCATGCATTGATGATGCTAACTGCCTGGTCTGGCTTGGTGAAGTCCATCTGGTGAGGGTGGGTCTGGAAGGCCTTGGCCAGGGCTCGGCGGTATCCCTTCTCCAGGCTCATCTTCCTCTCAACCATAACCCCGCTGGCCGTCTCCACCCCCTCCTCACTGGACAGGTCACGCTGCAGAATACGCTGTTGCCGAGACATCCCTCGCTCTGCAGGAGTGGTGAAATAACCCTTGTTACACTAATACACCTTCCTAATATACTCCAGTCTACCAAATTCACAGATCTTTTAGTCCATAAATCCATTAATTTTTCCTCTGTCACCACATTCACAAACTGCCTTGTAAGGTTGAAGTCTTTCTTTATCTTGTAAACGTTGTCATGAATTTTGTGAGCCCTTATGTATTGTATTAAAGTCCCCCTCTAAATTCTATCTCGGAAAATTTAACTGTTTTCACATTAGAAAAATTATCACGAGAACATTTATTTCACTTGCCTTTCAGCGCTTCCATATTAATCACTTATTAAAGAGTATTGTTTTTTATTATTATAAAAAATATATATTATTATTATTACCAACTTGATTTAAGTGGCCGTGTGTGTATAACAACATGATTATACTGTATTAACATGTGTTTTTCTTTTATTTATAACTTTGTAATGAATGCATTTAAGGCCTGTAGAAGGCATTATTATATTGATAGTCCAACCTGAGTGAATACATGTAATATCTAGGATCTTAAGACATTTCTTTTT